CAAATCTAGTTTATATTAGAGACAACATTAGAACCTAGCTCTTTAGATTTCAAGGCTGTGTCTCTTTCCACTACATATATTTTCAGAACATGAATTATGGAAAATGTGAATAATTAACTTTTGGATATATTTTCAGAACATGAATTATGGAAAATGTGAATAATTAACTTTTGGACCAAAAATATGATTTGAGAAGCAAACACTCTTGTGGCACCATAGATGAGTTTTCTGACAACTATATTTCACTTCCATTTGATTTAATTTTTTTTTGGTGGAATGACCTGAGACATCCATTATTTCTATAATCACATTTCCTGAGCCACATGTATACTTTTTACATATATGTGTGAAAACAATGTGCAAAGAATAATGTAAATTATTATAGAGTTGCATTCATTTACATATGATAAAATGATGATTTAGCACTAAAGGAAAAAAATGGGAATGCTATTAATAATAAGCTCATATATGATTTTACCCCAAGTAAGAATTTCATAGAATAAGAAATTTTTAGCTGTAGTTGTGACCAACATACATTTCTATATTATTATTCAATTATAGTACAGAGTAATTAAAGACCTGGGACTTTTAAGATGCACTGTGCAGCTATCCCTTCCACATTGTGACTTTCCCTGTCATGGTTTTGATACATTTCAGGTCAGCGTAAGAAATTAAATGGGAATTTGGGGAGTTTTGCAGCAGCCGCAGATAACATGCACAAGCCAGCAAACAACAGAAAAAGTTTAGAAACTCAGAAATGCATAAAATATATATATAGTACTATATAATATCAAAATATTTTATTTTTTAATGCCATAATAATTCAGACTTCTTCTGTGGTATGAAAGGAGGGCCAAAAAATTTTATGCGGATTTTTTTCTGCCCTAACCCCTATGATGTGGAAAGCATAATTATTTTTATTTTTGCTTTAACATTTCTATGAGTGCCTGAATGTCTTAGATATATGTATCTTGGTGGTACAAAGCTAAAACATTCTCCTTGCTGTCACAGATGTCACAGTGAAAAGATAACATGCAAAATAGTTATGTCCAAAGAAGATAAATATAGGATATACTGGATAGGTACTAGAATTATGGACAAGCAGACAAAGTCTTCTTATAGAAGTATACATTTAAACTAGGTCTTGAAGGGAATCAGGGAAGCCAGGAGATGGAAATGATGAGGGAGAGAATTCCAGGCATGAAGGACAGGCAGTGAAAATTCTCAGAGCTAAGAGATGGAGTATCTTATGTGAGGAGCAGCAAGGAGACCCAATGTCACTAGATCTCATTCATATTATAGGATGTGGTGGTTTAGTGACAGATTATGGTATAAGAAGCATGGAAATATAGAAGGGGGCCAGGGCTTTGAATGCCAAACAGAGGAATTTATTTTTGATCCTGATTTTATTTAGAACTTAACAATTTGGAGCACAGCCTTAAAGTTTCTTGCCTTCAATGATTATTTTAGTCACAGTGGACCTGGGAATCTTTTTTCCCAGTGCATTGGAACTTAGTAATTATCCATTCATTTCAGCTTTCAGTTTTATTTTATTTTATTATTATTATTTAACCTATTTATAATTGAGGTAATGTAAGGCTTCTGGTTTTGTAGTCTCTATTAGCTTAAGATCACTGGCCCATGCACTTAAGGATAGCCATTTTGTTTTTGTTATTCATGCTGTCTAGAAAAGGACAGCATACATGTTCTACTCAATGTCCATCACTACTTTTTTTTTTTTTGTGAGGCAATTGGGGTTAAGTGACTTGCCCAGAGTCACACAGTTAGTAAGTTTATGTGTCTAAGGTTAGATTTGAACTCAGGTCCTCCTGACTCCAACGCGGGAGCTCTATCAACTGCGCCACCTAGCTGCCCACCCCATCACAACTTTAAAGGGAAATTTTCACAATTTCCAGAGCCCTACATTTTTTGCCCACGAGGAAGATGAATATCCTCAAATTACTTACAGCAGGAATTGAGTTCAGTGGCACCGACCTAAATTTCCAATTGGAATTATTTACAGAAAAAAAAAAGTAATGGCATCTACATCATAAACCTGAAGAGAACTTGAGAAAAGCTTTTGCTAGGAGCTCATGCCATTATTGCTATTAAAAATCTACCTAAATGTCAGCTCAACCAGGAATATTGGCCATCATGCAATATTAAAATATACTGCTGCCAGTGCCACACTTATACCTAGAAATTCCATATGTCTGGTACCTTTATGAAGCCATATCCAGACAGGTTTGGGGGACCTTCACCTTTTGGTGATGACTGATCTTAGGTCTAATCACTAGCTTTTGATGGAAGCCTCTTATGTTAATCTCCCAGTGATCTCTCTGTGTAGCACAGACTCTCCACTTTGATATGTGGATGTTGCCATTCCATGTGATAATAAGAGTGCTCACTCACTGGGTCAAACATGTTAGATACCAACTCCATAATTCCTGTGTTTGCAAGGTGTTGTCCCATTTGAACATCCACGAGAGGTTATGTTTGATCTTTGTTTCTAGAAGGATCCAAAGGAAATGGAAAAGGAGAAACAAACAGTCACTAAAAAGTCAATGACAAAAGAGGAGTTTCAAGATGAATGGATTACTCCAGCTCCCAAATTCACTGCTACTCAACCTAAGATTTTAAATTGGTCTGAAGGAATTGGTGCCATTTGTGCCCCCATTCAGCAGCTCACTACTGAATATTGAAATGATTATTAGCCTGATATTGAAGAACGGGGTGATGTCTCCAACTGCCCAGGTCACTGAGTGAGAAGCAACTGCCACATAGTCGCATTAAGTTTTTTGTGCTCTTCATAAGTGATAAAATATTACTAAAGAAAAATAAATAGCAGCTTACTACCCCTCCCAAAATAGCATTTAATTGACAATTCTAGTAGTTGGTGGGTCTATATCAAAAACATGATGAGAATTTTGATTGTGAATTATTCCATTCACTTGACATCACCAGGAATTCATCTCTATGCATATGAAATATGTGTACAGGATCAGAAAGGATTTAAAGACTAAGGAATTTTAAAGATCTTATTCAGACAATAGTTTATGAGTTAGCTCAGATAAGTATAGCAGAGAAATGAAACAATAACATGAATAATATGGTTTAAAAAAAACAGACCAAAAAAACCCTAACCAAACAAGAAATAAAAACCAAAAACAAAACTACCTTTGTGTGTGTGTGTCTGTATGTGTGTGTGTGTGTGTGTTAAGAATAGTTTGAAAGATAAATCTTCTATATCAAGCCACATGTCTAATTGTAGTTTTATTTGTGTAGATATAGCCTCTGACTTTCTCTCTTCTTTGCTCTTCCACTTGACTCCACAAGCTTCAGTTGTTGTGAGAGATTTTTTGATGTTCAATCCCATAGATTTGGGAATGGGAAGAAATTAATAATGCATGGTAGATTTGGCAGGGGGTAGAGTTTTATGTAAGTAGTGTTATATATGTATAAACATGTTTGTTGAAACTATAGAAGAATATATGAATGTGTATCACAAACCAAAGTTAAATTTGGAATGGATAACAAAATGGCTCCAATATCACAAAAGATAACCTTCAACTTTTGTTTACATATATGTATATGCCTGTTTATATGTAGATAGTTAACTCTTGATTATCTGGGGATTGATAAAAATAACTAAATATTGTTAATATATACCATAAGGAATGTTTGGTTACTTGGTGAATGATATTGAGGGTGATATGTATTGTTTTGCCTTCATTCTCTAAGAGCACCATGACGTCAGGAAGGTGATGTTGCAACTTGCAAATGAACTGAATTTAAGTGAGGGAGGGCTGTGCAAAGTAACCAGCCTCATTTCCTCCTCTAAAGCCATTTGGGTCCAGTGGCAAGATATAGATCAAGATGAGTGGATTCTATGAGTGCTTGAATGTATTAGATATATATATCTTGGTAGTACAAAGGTAAAACATATTCCTTGCTCTCAAGGGGCTCACAGTGAAGAGATAACATGCAAAATAGTTATGTCCAAAAAAGATAAATATAGGATATACTGGATAGGTACTAGAATTAAGGACAATCAGGCAAAGTCTTCCTGTAGAAATTTACATTTAAACTAGGTCTCGAAGGGAATCAGGGAAGCCAGGAGATGGAAACGAATGCCGTAGGAAACCTTGGCCTTTTTAAGCTAAGGTCTTTCAATGGCATCTTTTAGCTAGTCAAAAACAAAACAAGAGAAAACAAAGAACCAACCAAAAAAAAAATCAGGGTGAGGAAGACCGCAGGGTTTCTAGCTAAAACAAAACAATTGCTATTGATATTCATTCTGAGCCATCTGGGCCCAAACAATGAAATGGTGTTGATGATGATTAGATAGATAGATAGATAGATAGATAGATAGATAGATAGATAGATAG